CCTTGTAGCACTCTCTAAAACAAAACTAAACTGTGATTATAGAAAAGCTTTCTGCCAAGCCCCTGAGTAATATCTATCAAAACTGTGGAGTTGAATTCCACAAGTGCCTAAAGGGCAACAGCATTGTGGCGCTTACTCGCTCCTTAATCAGACAGTTTGGTGTGGACTTTTATGAGAATTTGCTTGAGTACAACCTGAGCAAGGATCTTTGGCCCATTGTTACTTAGTGTAATCTTTGTGAGGGAGGAACTGTATTACCTCCAGTGTCATACAAGACTGGGCATGTTGCCAGTGCTTAAGATATAGATAATCAGTGAAAAATTAAAATGCAGCCTGAGTATCTAATGATCATTGGGAGCAAGCACTGGCTGACGTCTTTGTATAGAAATGTGCTACAGGGTTTGAGTTTTCCACAATCTACCTGTAAATTTCTCTCAGATTTATCATCAGGCTGCACTTAACAGGCTCCATAATGGGAAAATCAGGAATAATATGAGCCTTTTAGAATTAAAAATAAAGTGACTATATAGCCCTGTGGCTTTTAGTAGAATGCTCTGTACCTATGTATGGAAAGAGCAAACCATTTATCTTAAAAGAAGAACAGCAAAATTTGTAATGGAATGAAGGCAAAGTTGTGGTACCAAAGACTTTGTTCTGAACAATATCTGTAGTCCTCTATCTACTAGAAAACTTGACTAAGAACTCCAACAACAAATATGTTTTTGTAATGAAGGAAACTTAGGCCTTGTCTTCACTACTGGGGTAAGTTGACCAAAGGTACGCTACTCCTAGCTTAGGTCAACTTACCCTGCTGTCTTCACTGCGCTGCGTCAACGGGAGACTCTCTCTGGTCAACTTCCCTTACTCTTCTCGGAGAGCTGGAGTACCGGGGTTGCCTGGAGAGCGCTCTGCCATCAATTTAGCAGGTCTTCACTAGACCCACTAAATTAGACCCCTGCTGCATCAATTGCAACAGCATCGATCTCCCTGTAGTGAAGATCAGCCCTTAGTCCTGTGCAATATTTCCACCTTTTTTATAATTGTATTTAGTCCTTGGTAGTATCATGTAACAAAGCATGATATGACTATATTACATTTAGCACATTGGTTTCTAACATATACCTGTCCCATAGTTATTACATGTGTATGATGGGTTAGTAGTGTTAGGTGTGAATCTAGAAGTAGACAGATAAAATCCGGGGCGGGAGAGGGAACAAAGTCAAAGCAGCTTTAGCATTCCATCTCCATGAGGATACGGGCAGGATTCTAGTGGAAACAAGGCTGCAGTTTTCACAAACATGTACTTTGAAAATTGTAAGAACAGCTCAGCCTTGCCTCATTTACTCAAACAAAACCCAACACCTGCTGTGAACAAGATGACCACCCGCATTACAGTGGTGATTTTAGGTGCAATTTATTAATATTTCTAACGTACTTTACCACCTTCTACCTAAAATGTTCTCAAAGTATTATATTTCCTCTAAGCAGTAATAACAGCCAGCTCACTGATTCCAGAATATGAGAAATGAACAAAAGATTCTATTCACTCAAGGGAGAAGAAACATGACCCAGAATAGGATCACAACAAGCTATAAAAGTGATAAGTAAATCAAGGAACTTTTCCTCCCTTATGGATGCCATGGGTGCACATAATAGCTACATTTTTAGAGGTGACAAGAAATGTGAAAAAATGTCAATCATGATAAAATAATCTCTCGTGCACCAGAGTCCAACAGTTAGGCATAAGTGGTATGTCCCACCTAAGCCTGAGGTGCTGGAGAACCCTCCTTGATGCCAAGTAGCAGTGAAGTTGTCACCACATAATTCAGGCAGCATGAAACACCATGTGGTACAAACAGTAAATGGCCCATTGCATTTCATTTCTCCCTGCTGCAATGGGGTAGGAGTCCAACACGTCACAGACTCACTGCAGCTATAGGTGTGACACTACTGCCTAAACCAGCTCTGGTGATGTTATATAAGGGATTAATTTAATCCAGTGAATATAGGAAAACACAAAGATCTGCAATCTCTGTACAATGGGCCAGTGCCACCTGAGACCGGAGCACTACAGAAGCAGTGTTGATTATACCTATGGCCAGTGACCATAATACAAATACGTGGGGGGAGGGTACATAACTGCAATCTGTACAGAGTGAGTTCTACATCCTCAAGTGCCAGTTTATTATTACAAACTTCATGAAAGGCTGAGAGAGCAGCCTCCCTGGGCCTGCAACTCCCCCTCCTGTGCATGTAGGCAGGGCAGGGGTGGGGAAAAGGCTGAGCCTGGACTCAGTACCCTCTTGGACCCGCCAGCACAGGTGAGTCAGTGCACTAGGGGGAAGTAACTTGTGTAAGGTATATGGCTGGTGTACATGAGCTCCGTCGGAGCAAGGAGAGGAACCAGAAGCCATTTTGGGACTAAATCATAATCTGGTTCCTGGTCTGCGCCTGGGGCAATACAACAATGTGCCACCCCTGTTCAGTGCTTGTGGCAAAGCCACAATTTAACATTTAGTTAAACTCATCCAATCTCAGAACAGAAACCATGTGACTTGTGATCAATCACAATTAGCTAATACAGATTGTATATTGAATACGTTCATAGGGCACTGCCTAGACACAGAGATCCACCTGCACAGAGCACCTTGCAGGATTGGGACATACATCTGTCAATTAAATTACTTACTCCAAATGGTTCACCGAGCTGTGAGTACCATACATATAACTTCCTTACTGTACAAGTGAAACATTTCAAAATGTCTACCCAATGTAGCATTTCAGATGTTTAAAACAAGAAACACACGTCATGCTGCATAAATGCCCTGCAGACTAGATCATTGTGTCTTGCAATATAAAAATGAAAATCAGTTAGGATAAATATTTATTTCCACATAACATTTCTTAGTCGTGAAAAACACAATATTCTATTCACATGTACACATTACTTAAACTTTTGTAATAAATTACATCAAAGAAATTCAGTAATTTTGACCAGGAATATGAAATTAGAAGTAAATACATAACACTACATTTGCATTATATTTGATGTGATTTCAAAATGTTAAGATTAACATTGGAATAGCATTAAAATTCACAAGAATAGAGTGACTGTAAAAAAAATACTCAAATACTGAACGGAAATACAGAATGCCACTGAGTACACTGATTTCTTAGTATTCTAAGAGTTGGTTATGTGACACTTCCTATTCACTTTGATCATCGGTAACAGAAAGTCAGCAACATATCAAAACACCAGCAAGCTGCTTCCAGGGATGAACCAGTATTGTACTTCTATACTAAGCTTAAAACAATTGGAATATTCCAGTGTACCATCCGGTACATAAAAACAAAGCATTTTAACCTTCATGTGTCTGTATTTTCCCTAAATTAATAAATACAAACCATTTTTATTAAATGTAAATCCTTCTTTGCATCCATTAAATATAATTGCCTTAAAAATGATCGTAACGGGCTTTGATAATATTAAGTAGTGTTTAGAATAGTGATCCTACTTATTTGCAACAGAATTCACTGGCTAGATTAGTCAAAACAGCGTTAGAAGCAATGCTTTTTATGTGTTGGACAGTGGGTGTGAAAAGTCACTCCTTTGAGCTCTGTGGAGTGATTATTAGCGTATTGGAAGAGCTAGGAAGCCTTAAAGCCCTATAAATTTATCATTGTAATGATTACAAGACTGAAGCCACTAACACAATGATAAGAGTTAGCCTTCTTTAGTTTTTTAATTTGTTAAAAAAATAACAAATCGTGACATTTCCACATAACGCTCTAAAACTTTTGTTATTGTTCCAATGCTTTAATGCCTGATCTTACAGTCCTTATTTTTGCAAAATTTAGTTTGGTTAAAGATTGAAGGATCATGCCATAGTAAAATCAGTTTGTATGTACTAGAACAACTTATTTGTAATGGTTTTAAGTAGGGCTGTCAAACAATTTTAAAAAAATCACAATTAATCACAAGATTTAAAAAAGTCACGATTAATTGCAGATTTAATCGCACTGTTAAACAATAATAGAATGCTAATTTAAATTTTTTATAAATATTTTTTGGATTTTTTCTACATTTTCAAATATATTGATTTCAGTTACAACACAGAATACAAAGTGCACAGTGCTTACTTTATATTATTACAAAGATTTGCCCTGTAAAAAAGAAAGAAAAGAAATAGTTTTCAATTCAATTCATACAAGTACTGAAGTGCAATCTCTTTATCATGAAAGTGCAACTTACAAATGTGAAATTTTTGGGGGCCTGGAAATCGAAGCATGAAGGAGCATTATGAATGGATAGTATATCTGGCATGTAAATACCTTGCAACAGCAGCTACAACAGTGCCATGTGAACACCTGTTCTCACTTGCAGGTGACATTGTAAATAAGAAGCGGGCAGCATTATCTCACGTAAATGTAAACTTGTGTGTTGTACAAATGTAAATTTGTTTGTCTTAGTGATTGGCTGAACAAGAGTAGGACTGAGTGGACTTGTATGAGGTGAATTGAAAAATACTATTTCTTTTCTTTATCTTTTTTACCGTGCAAATATTGGTAATAAGAAATAATATAAAGTGAGCACTGTACACTTTGTATTCTGGGTTGTAACTGAAATCAATATATTTGAAATGGTAGAAAAACATCCAAATATATTTATAATACATTTAAATTGGTGTTATATTATTGTTTAATAGTGAGATTAAAACTACAATTAATCGTGCCTATTTTTTTTAAACTAGTTAAATTGTTTTGTGTTAATTGCATACATTAACTGTGATTGAAAGTCCTAGTTTTAAGCCATGTCTTAATTTGCAATTTTGAGTTTTGTTTTTAATCAACGTGCATTTAATGGAATAATGAAACGAGCGTGTAACAAAAACAACGGTCGACCACCTCTAAGTCTCTTGTGCATGATTCATATCTGGATGACAGCAGGGCATGATTGTAAGCAAAGGGGTAACAATATAGGTGTGCAACATAATGTATGATTTTATTGGTGGCGTTTAAAGATTTTAGGCAATTAAACAGAAAACAGATCATCACTAGGAGGGCAACATAACTGCATATGTCTGGTAAAGATTTATATCTACAAAATTCCCACTAGTATTATAAAATACTGGGTTCATTAACATCATAATGCAGCTGTTAATGACCTACCACTGCAACATTCAGTACAGTACAAGACACTGTAATCACAGCTTGCATTTTTAGCAAATACCATATGAATATTTCACATCAATGGATATCTCTTTTTTAACAAGGTAAGAGAATGTTTTATATATTAGATATGTGATTTTATGTTCCAGTTACATACAAATTTGAATATTAAATATTTTGTATTAATTCAAGGAAAACTGCATAAATATTAGGTCTGATACCAGTGCTCTTAGTGCAAGAGTAACCCTCGAGTTCAGTGGGAAAGTTCACATGGGTAAGGATTATTCTAGCGATATAGGGTTTGCAGGATCAGGTCAGTCATTAATTATTTAATTTGGGTCTCTTGAAATAATTGGCTAGAGCTAAAAAAGAAATGGGACTATGTTTCAAGTTTGTCTTGAATGAAATTATTAGGGATTCTCACACAGGTGAAGTAGAAAAATACAGTACAAAGCTACTAAGTTAAATTTGAAAGAAACTATGCTTACTAAATTGTTGAGATGAATTCAGTATTAACAAATGACTAACACATAGCAAGGAAAGTGAAGATTCTTGCATTGGGTACAGTAGATTTTTGCACAGATATCTGATGGTGTAGACATTTAGAAGAAAATGAAATAAATATTGCACTACTTACATTACCTGTGCTAGTTTGGGATGAAAGACAAAGTTTACAATATATGATAAAATCAGTTATATTAATGATTGTGGCACTCCTTTCATTTGTTTGTAAAAATAAATTGAAGAACAAGTCATAGACAAGTCTCCCGGTCAACACCTTTCCCTGAGTCAGCTTTCTTCTCTCTTCTGCTTTCAGCACTGGGGGGGAGGAGCGGAAATAAAAAAAGAATATATGTTACAGCAGGGCTTATCCTAGTTGCTAAAGCATTTCATCTGGGGAAAAACACACAGGATTGCATTAACTTTTCATGCTGCACGGCACAAACTGGGAAGCAAGAGTGAAAAATTGCACTGTTCCATGGTACAGACGACACTGGCCAATATTTTAGTAAAGAGATAAGTGAACAATAAACTGAAAGTTTACACATGTGCAAATCTGCGAGCATGCAAGAAAAAATAGTTGCTGCCTTTTTTTTTTTGCAAATACTGTACAATACTGTTAATGATTTTTTACAACAATGATAATGGTACAGTTTTGAGACAATACCAGCATTTTTTTGAAATGGCACAAACAAGAGGTCCCAGTATTTCTTTGCTATAAATATGTGTATTCTCATCACTCATGTATGAGAAATATTTTGGACCAATTTATTTGAAGAGACACTGAGCAGTGCTTCAGGGTCTTCCTTTCTTCAGAAAAAAAATCAAACTATTTTAATTTTAAATCTTTGATTCAGTACACATTTATGCTGTGTGATACCAGGCAAAATTTTTTTTAAAAGGGGTATCCCAGCCATGCACAAGGCAGTTGTCAGCAGAATATTAACAAAAAGAATATTTTCTAGTCAAATTCTAACACAATTTTGATGGAAAAATGCTGATGATTTGCCTATAGAAAGCAATATACAATATGTGCAAGGGTGATTATTTCCTCTGTCCTGAGCCCTAGTTTATGACAACCTGCACAACAAATAGGTTGCACTGTTATGTGAAAGGAGAGTCACTGCAAGCTCCTTAGAGCAAGATTCATCCAGTCTTAAAATTTAAAGACACTTCCAAAGTGCAGGTAAATCAACCCTTTGACAAAGAATGGCAATACGTATTTCTGAAATACAAACCTGGAGCATACATATAACCTCCTGGTAGGAATGATTCCCTAGCAGGAGTGAATGAGAACCAAGCCAAATCCAAAGGGGATTTAAATTAGGTGGACAAATTTTCAAAGGAATCTCCAAAATTGCTCCTGTAAAATTTCCTCACAGAAATAGTTTTTAAGGGTACAGATATTATTTTCATTTAGTTAAATCAAGCCCAAACTTATCTCCCTGGCTATGGAGGCTTCCGCCTATTTCAAGGGGTGCTTCCGGAAACAACAGAGGAATACTGATTTCAGCTGGATGCAACTGCCCAGTCCTGTCGCCTTCTCTGGAAAAAAGTCTCTACCCTGCCAGGCTGTCTCCTGGGGATGATGTAGGGGATCCATGTCTCCTGATAGTCTAACATCAGGAGTGGATTTTTCCTTCTCACTGAATCAGCCAGAGAAATCTAAATGGGCTGTGCTGGCTGAAGAGGATGTCTCCCTTGCTGAGATTCTCTGTGTAGACCCTTGGGGCTAAGGAACACCAGTGAGCCAGGCAGGGACAGAAGAGTCCATGATAGGGTAACTGCACTGGAGTTGCTGAGAAGTCATTTACCTAACCTCTCCTCCCCTAAGGCAGCTCGGCAACGCCTTCAGCACTGAACTTTTTGTTTGTTTGTTTACTACGTTAGCATCAAAGAGGCTTTGTCTATTTTTGGCTGGACAGAGCATCTACTAGTGAAAAATGCTTATATGAAATCTTATTACAGGATCTTCATTTGTTTCTATTAGCCTCATTTAGTCATATTATTTTGGTGTTTGGCAGATAACATATAAACAAGGACAGGACTATAGACAAATGCTATATTAAATGCTTGTTTAGTGGTTTAGTCCCAAAAAGCACAAGTGCAATTGCCTTCAACACAAGACAATGCACATTTTTCTCTTTATGGCAGAACACGTTCCTGCAGGAAGCAGAATACTGTCATCCCATTTCCTTGATTACCTGCAAAGTCCCTTGAACTTTTCAGCGTGGTCACCCTTATAACTATTACCACTGCATCCATTTATTTTCAATACTTTTCTATCCATTTGAGATCAAACTGTATCCTCAAATGTCAGCATAAAATTTCCACTGAACTCAATGGAAGCCACACACATGCACCTGAGGACAGAATTTGGCCCTTATTTAGTTTTGTTTCTGCTATGTCATAACTAAGCATGATATGAACTTGCTTTTGTTTACAAAGAACAAAAATAAAAAGATTGTGTCCCTTGTTCATTGGAATCCATCTCTCTCCCTGTGTTCTAAGCAGGCAGCTGAGGCAAGCTAGCCACTAGACACAGCAGACTCTGGATTTCTATAGCTATGGGTTGGGCATTTACAGTAAGGAGGATTTTATGATTAAAAGCCTGAAAATGAAAAACGAAGGGCCTCATCCTCCAGTTCTTACTCACATGAGTATGAACTGCGTGCCCGGACCCTGCATCTTAGGTTGAGTAAAAGGAGTGCAAATAATCACCAGGAAACAACGAATAGTCATAAAGGTCAAATTATCTCCTGAGACCCACCCCATACAACCTCACTAATATCATCTGAGCCAAATTCTCTGCCAGCGTAATTTGGTGCAGTTCCGTTAAAGTCACTGCAGGTGCACCAGTATATTCCAGCAGAAAATTTGGCTCATATAACTAATCTCTCTCTTTCTCTCGTGTGTGTGTGTGTATACATACAAACACACACAATAATTATTATTGCTTTTTTTTTTTTAAGACAGCACCATAGATGTGCATGGCACTTGGTAGATAAATGAGATACTGCCCCTGCTCTGAGGAGCTTACGATCTCCATTTAAATGCAGAAGAATATAGATCTGTAATACTTGTCACTCATGGGTGAGGCCCTGTACGTTTTAGGTTCAAGATTAGCTTCTAGTGGAAACTCCTGTAGGCCCCCATAGCCACTGAGGGGTTGCACTGGTGCTTCTCCCCTTGAAAATAGGATTCTTTACCTTAGTTTCCACAGAGATACTCTGAGCAAGGCTCATGCACTCAAGTTACATGCAGGGATTCAGAATTGGGTTCATAATGAAATAATTTAGCTCAGAGGTTTATTCAAATGAGTAGCAGCTTGCTTAGAACTTTATTACTGAGGAGACTATTTCTGTGTTTGTGTTTTTAGCTATCACTGAAATTGCAGTCACTGCATTTCTGATGTAGGATTTTTGACCAGTAGATCCACAAAGCAGTTAAGAGACAGCCCCTAAATGCAGAGGGTTAGAGAGTTCCCCTGCACAGCCTCACTATACACATCCCCCATACACAGATCTACTGTGATTATGGCCTTTGGAATTCATATAGAGGGTGGGAGACAAAATCAGAGCCATATTTTTATTTTGATTGATAGTAAATTGGTGCTAAAATGGAGCACATGAATAAGCACGTCTACAGAGATTTGAAATGAAGATTCTTGGTCATCAACTGTTAATCTTGTTTATGCTGTTTATGTAAAGGAACAACACTGAAAAAGCAGCATGCCATTTTGGGGTGACAAAATTCTGGACCACAGCTTTTATGTTTTAATTTCACTCAGTTTAGTGACGCTAACTGAAATTTTTTCTACTACTTCATCTCTTCCCAAAGCAATTAAAAAGTCAACTTTCCAGGGATATATTTTGGATTTAGAAATCTACCATACAAATTCTGGATTAAAATAATAAAAATGACTACTGGACAAATAAAAATGTATATATTGTGAGTAAATTCAATTTCTCATTTAAATAGACAATGTATATTGATTCTTTAAAAACATGAAAAACACTTCTAGACCTTTTAGAACTGGACCTATTTCAAGTATTACAAAATAACACTGCAGATGCTGACAAAAGTATTGTAACATGGATCATGAGTTTTCCATTCATTTTGTCTCCCCAAAAATTACATATATTAAGTCATCTGGGTTTCCAGAAGATACTATTTAAAATGGGAAAATGCAATCAAGGAAGAGGTTGAGGGACAGGGTCTTACCTTTGGGGAATCAGCTTCTAGAGTGATTAGGAAGGGGAGCTTATGATAGAAATGCGATACGAAACAATTAAGTAAAAAATCATGTTAATTTAAAAGTTATGGAAATATCGGAAGATACTTGTTACAATAAATGCTGTACATTTAACATATCTACTCATTCATATTCAGACTCAATGGCATGGACAAAAATGATCTCTTCATTTTACAATATTCCTGGATTATACTTTAAACTTTATGCCAACAGAAAATTACATTTGTTTGGCTGTTCTAAATAGGAGTTGCAAATATTCGGAAATATATATAATGAAAGAGACTTTTATTGCAATTTCAAGCATTCTACTCTGCCCTAAATGTATATGTATAACACTCATTAACACTAATGGGTGCTGCATTTGAACATTTCAGTTAGAGTGATGACCATGTTGTCTTTATTCAAAGAATAGACTCAAAATAAATGCTGTGTGATTTCCAGGCGTTATGAGTCTGTGGTTTGTTACACAGGTATCGGCATACTGAACTATATCGTTTTCCACTCTAGCATGCAAGTATTTATGAATCTATAAAGTGATAGTGTGTATATGACTCAGAATATTTTAATTAGACAATTTAAAAAAACTCTTCAAGAAATAAACTTAGTGGTAGTTAAAGATGTTTTATAGTCCCTTATTTTTCAATTTTAAAAAATCAGCTGTTTTGCTTTGCCCCAATACACAAGGTTAAATATATTAATAACTTAAAAGTTAAAACCTTTTAGAAGGAAAGCTTGACTCCTTATCCTTTGCATTCTCTGAGGATATCAGCAATGTCTTCCATACGGCAGTTTTTGCCATTTCATCAGAAATATTTATTACAGATGGATCATCTCTAGACAAAAATGAACACACAATATCACAAGTGATCAGTCTTTGTTCTCTATATTACTATACAGCAGGACTTGGTCATTGATTATTATGATAAGAAATATATGAATATGTTAAACAATTATATTAGAACTTAGTAAATATTATTAGCAACTTCCCATATACTCCATTAATGTCACTTATTTAGTGCTTTACTCTTGCAAAATGTTGTACAAACATGAATTAATTGATCCTAACAACATCTGTAAGGTAAGTAGGCATCACCACCAATTCATAGATGGGGAAAATGAGATACAGAAAGGTTATGTGAGTTTCCTAAGGCCACTGAACATATCAATGGACTAAAACGGAAGAACTCCTGGTTCCTAGCACCCTGATCAATTCACTAAACCAATGTTTCTCAGTGACCGGTCTGTGGTGATGGTGACTGGTGACGGTCCCTGAGATCTCCCTGACACAGTTGAGGAAGGCAGCCAGCCAGTCCCTAGTATCAAAAAGATTGAGCAACACTGTTCTAGACTATACTAACCAACTCCAAGTGTAAGCTGCAGTGTTTTAAACCCATTGCAAAGCTGGAGTAATTTAAAGATTTTTTTAATGATTTCAAAATGAATATCCTTTCTATTAAAAAAAAAGAGGTATTAAAAAAATCAGTAACAGGAGACTCCTGAACCCTTATGTCCCTAACTTTACTAGGACTGCTTCTGAGGAACTGTAGGACCATGGACTTAACCTTTCATATATTTATTTTTTTAAATCATTAAGGGCCTCAGTCTGTGATAGCACAAAACTAAATATTGTACATCATTTATGACTTTATTTGTATGCAGATCAAGGCTCGGTATACAAAAAAAAAGTGGTTCCAAAGTTTTTGATGAACTGCACCAGTTTGCAAGACTAGTGCCTTGATTGCGTCTGTGGCCTCTTAGGGTATGTCTACAGTGCAATTAGAAACCTGCAGCTGACACAGGCTCACAGGGTTTGGCTGCAGGGCTGCAGCCTGAGCTCTGAGGCCTTCCCACCCTGCTGCCCACCCTAGTCTTGCAGTGGGTGTACCAAGAGCCAGCCCAGATATTCACCATCAGTGGGCTGATCCTGCAGTCTTTTCACAGGCAAAACTTCCACTGCTGTACTTTTTTCACGGTGAATAAAGACTGCAGGATCAGGTCCCAAGGCTAGGGAGGTGGGACCTAGGACACAAAAGCCTGAAGCATGAGCTTTGGGATGCATATTTGTGCTCTGTTAACACACATGCATATTTCTTTTTGATAGGACAGATTTCACTCTGTGCCAAGATTAAGAATTGTCACAGTATTGTGGCATGACAGGATTTTATACAATTGTTTAGTCCTTTTCTCATGTTTGCTTACATCAGCCCCAAGTTAATCAAAAGTATATTTTACCTGTAATGACCTTCAAGTGGTAACTGAACAGTGCCCTCCTCTTCCATTGCTAACATACTTTGTTCTTCCTAGGAGGAAGACATTTAGATGCAAGAGACAAAATGATGTTCTGAACATGGTTATATCTGTTATAACCTTTCTTTTCTGTAATATTAAATATTTACTAAAGTTCTTTAAAACAGAGGATACAGTTCCAATTACTTTTTATGTTTCACACATCTGAAGCTAAAAATAATGTATTTAAAGGACAATTTTCCACTTAATGGTATTTTTATCATTAAGTGGAAACATAAAAGTTTCCTTTGTAACAAAAAGAGAGCGAAGTTACTAATAAATATTCAGCAAAGAATGTATATATCAGATTTCAAATACTATGTAAGAGCAGACATTTAGGACGCTCTGTTGAGCAAGCAAGAATCAGGTAATCCCAGATTTATGACTACATGCACAACTTTACTGTAAAGTGAATGAGCCAGGGCCCCAAAATTAATTTTCAGTGGAACACAAAAAGGCACCTGGGAATACCAGGGGCTAAGGAGAATGGGGATGTGCATTCAAATCCATTGGTCAAATATTGCAAGTTCATCAAACCTTTAACTCCAGAAAAACATAACTCCTAAAAGCAACATGTCCTGTTGACAGTGAGAGGACAAGAGCCACTTCAAGCAGCTACAGGCTTTATTCCTTTTCTGAGTTCAAATCCAGAGCATTCCTCAAATATACCCCAGGCTTAATATATACCCTCAAGTATACCCCACTTAAACTCAACGTTCTACAGAGCCCACATTATTCCAAGGCCTCAGGCAGGCCAGCACACATCCCAGGGCCCACTTAAGGGCCACAGCCCCATGCAACCTATTACATGAGGAAACTTCAACGTTTTCCGCAAGAGTGCCAGGTTCTCTGAAAATCCAAAACTCTCTGCACTAAAGGTGGGTAGATACCTAATTTACAGGAAAATGTGGGTGCAGGAGAGTCTATATGCACCTCATTAATTCTATCCCCAGTGAGGGGCACCTAACCCATGCTCCCATGGCCAACCGTCTAACATCGCAATCCAACAAAACAAACCACTCAACTGAACCATAATAGCGTCTGCTCAACATGAACGCAGGCAAATGCTTCAAAGTTAGGTGTGCCTACACTGACCAATGGATGCAATCATAACAGCCTGCGCTAACGCAGCACAGCACACACAACTCCATAAAGACTGAATCACAAGAAATTAAAGCCCTATGTAACCAATAACCCAAAGGAAAGGGGTCGGAGTGTTATTTCCATACTGGGGAGTAAGAGGTGGCAGAGTAGGAAGAGGCTTGCTCCATTTGCCTTGTATGGGTGTCACTCTACTAGCTAATCCCCGCATTTATTAGGAGGATTGAGATTGACCAATAGCAACAACGTTAGGGCTACCACCGGGTGGCAGGCACTGTGACAGCACCCTGGTCATATGGCCCACATTCTGAGCCCACACTGTTAATTTGGCACTAGCTATAATGGCCAGTATCATTTCCCTCAGTGAGGAAATTTAAGTCTTGCCAAAATTGAGTTTGTCTCCCTACCCATTTTACTACTAGACCTGTTAAAAAAGTCACCATTTTAATTTTTATAATGAGAAAAGTGTATTTTGTCCATTTGGGTTTTACTCAAAATGACGTAAGTAGTTAACTCTGAGGTGGCCTCCGAAGTGTGTATTGGAAGAGATGAATAATATACAAAAGAAAACTGCTAAGCAGTGGGAAAAAATTGCCCTAGAAATGTAAAGCAACGTAAATTATGAAATTTTGATCCAGTCAAACAAGTTTTTAGATCTTGTCAACTTTATTTATACTCTTGTGGGTAGAATATTTCTATTTTTAAAATCTGTGTGATAGCAACTCTCCAATTAATTCTTTAGAATACATGTCAGAAGTTTTATTACTAGTTAATTTTGTCATTTCCAGGCTTCACAGCTTCATAAGTTTTTGACAGTTAAACAGTTTTAATGATAGCTCCAAATATTTAGAAATGCCAAAACATGTAAAAATAACCTCTCGAAATAGACAGTGACTGAAATAAAGCAGCAGCAGCAAAAAAAAAAAGAAAAAGAAAAAAGATTTTTCCAGTTTTGTTGTCTGATGCTATGCTATCTGGAATGTGAAAGAAAGCGACACATAAGCAAAACATGGGGATGATATGGAAAGGGTTCCTTTCCAACAACCTAAAATGTGAAAAAAGGTACCTTGATTACTTATAATTAGTTTGACTCAAAAAGACAACAGATGTGGACTCAAATCTCTTGTTTGCATTGGTATATCAGTTACAGTGTGAAGTGGAACGAGCAGTGTATTTTAAATTTCATTCTGATAACTTTGGACATATATTGCAAATAGTAAATATTAATAATTAATATATAATTAATATATTTATCACTTATATAGCATCTTTAGTTTTCAAATTATTTCATAAACATTAATTTTCACTATCCATCAGTGAGACAGGACAGTAAATTTTATCCCCATGCTACAGATGGTTAAACTGAAGTAGAGAGGCTAAGGCCCAGATTTTTAAAATATTTAGGAGTTGATGTGTTCAACTGAGTTAGGAGCCTACATACCACTCTAAAAGGGATTTAGGCACTCAGCGCCAAAATCCAATTATGAGCCAAAGGGGTTTAGGTTCTTGAGTTCCTAAATCACTTTTGAAAATTAGATTTAGCCTTCTAAATCAGTCAGTGTTGTAATGCTGAGCACAGCAATGTCTAAATAACCTTTACAAATCCAGGCCTAAGTGAATTGTCCAAGGGCACTGAAGAAAACTAATTTCCAGGATTAGAACTCGGGGGTTTCTGACTCCTAGGCCTGTGTTCAAATCACTAGACCATACCCCTCTCTATGGGCCCCACTTCATAATTAGATGTACCACTAGGATTCCTTCCACCCACACAGAATCTCTTTGACCTCAGTATGATATTATGCTAGTATACAGGTCTGCAGTAGTGCATCTATTTGCAGGAATGGGGCTTAGATTTGTAACTTTAAAATGTGATATAATCAAAGTCAAAGGACTGACACTGTTAAGTCTACATGTCACATGGATGATGACTCAGCTCTAAGATTTGGGGTAAATAATTCAATGGAAATATTGATAAAGAAGAATTAGGAAGTGAACAATGCAACCCCGACCTACCTCTTTTTCTGCATCTTCCAGTTTCTTTTTCTTGCTCTCAGGCATCAAATCATCCAACCAGCTTAGCTCCCGTTTGGTAAAAAATAAATCCATGAGTTTTCTGACAAACACCAAAGCTAAAACCTGGTCAAGACATTTATTTCAATGGTCAGGGTATTGTAGGCAAATAAAAAATGGTAAATATGCTTTTAAAGGGACACTTTCAAAAGTGATGGTGTTTAAATTTGTAGTCAGGAGACATGCATGGCACAAGCATACATATGGCTGTTATACTGTCTACTCTGCTTTGCTTGCATATATTTGGTTGGTGGATCATCCAAGAGGGAAGCTGGAATTTTATTCTTTATTTTGGAAGGGCTAATGCATTTTTCAGGGCTTGGGAATTTTTTTTTAGGGTGCAGTATATTCTGGGCCAATTAATCTTTATTGTCATCCTCTAAAGCAGCATGAAATACTAATCTTTTTTTAAGTCAGTGATATAACTAAGGAGAATTGATTTCAGTAACAGAATCAATTGAGTTATTTATTTCAACAAGACATAAAACTGTTAACAACAAAGTCTCTCCAGGCACTAAACACCCTTATTGAATGGATGTTCTTTATGTAAAATAATCAAGTAGAATTTTTTTTTAAGTGTCAAATTGTCTCATAAAGGACCAAATCCTACTCACTTTTCTCATGAGACTAGACAGTAGGGTTATTCAAATGTATAAAGGAAATGAGATTTGATCCAAACTGCAAGGTTTATATAGAATTTCACTTAGATCATGCAATGTGAAACTATCCTTACCTATATTTTGAATATACCTGTACACAATTCATGTTTTCTAGCAATTATTTATAAGTTAGGAGAAATAAGTTATCTTTTTGAGAAAATAAAAGAACATTTTTCATACCATCATTGGAAAGACAATGGCAGCTCTTGAAACCTTTATAACCCACAGGAGTACAAGACAGCTCAGCTGAATTATGGTGAAGAGATGGACTTTTCGAAGAGGAACATGCCTCAGATAAATAAAATCTGGTTGATGCTTTGCAGGCATCCAAAATAACTTTATTCTATCAAAAAGCTAGAAGAAATATAAAGCATAGATTTTAGCTACTAAATTCTAAGAAATTTATAAGCAACTGAAAACAGGGTCTTATAATGTGAAGTGTCAGGCAACCTTAATAAAAGATGACATAACCAGCCCCACCAATAATAAACAAAATTTAAAATAAATGGGACACTGTCAACTTGTAATCATATTTCCACATTTTGTGACAAGTAACCCCTAAAATATCTAGAATTGAAGGAGATTAAAGAAAAATGTTTGCTTCTTTCTCTTTCAGTTTGTTTTCTCTGTGCATTTGACAGCACTTTGTGCATAGACTACTTCATTGTTTTGTTGATGGTGCATGCCCCTTCCTCAGGCTTTGCAAGGGTGCATCCATCTCAGCACTTTTCACACACCAGTGCAGCTCTACTGGCACTAGCCAATTTGGGGGAGTTCATGTAGGCTGGGCATACGTGTTTTTACTACGTCATTTCACTTTGCATCAGTACATGAGAAATAGTCCTAGTGCCAGATCCTGAGCTGCAGCTGTGAAGTGATTGGCACAGCTCAGAAGAGTGGGATGTTAAGGAGCTGTTGGTACTCCCACCATCCTTGGCGAGCTCTGTGCCGGCCTAGGCCCAATGTGTAGATTGTTGCCAATGGTGTTCCAGCTGCCAACTGCCTCCAGGGCCATTCCAGCAGTGGGAATCACTAGAGCATTCCCTTTCCCCAAGTCATGTCCACTGTAGGAGTTGCTACAGTTGCTCTTCCCTATCTGAGATATCCCTTACATGTGGGAGGGGAATCCTCAAGAGTCTGGCTAAACCAGCTGTAGAGCAGCTAAACAAAGGATTGGTCTACTTGTGTAGATGAAACTCAAGTGGATGTTTACCATTAATAATAGCAGCAATGTTGAAATGGAAGAGGCAGTAGGCAGGCCTGTGTACAAAGGGAAGAGGAAGGAGCCTGTGCAACAGTGCGTTGCTCTGAGGCCCACCCAAAAGTCTCTTTAAATAATCAACATAGGAGCAGAAGAATCATTATCAGTTTTTAATTTCCATGTATACTATTTAAAGAGAAAAATCCATTTTATTTTTCAAATTAGTCACTTCCAGGAAAATAAACTTGACAGTGTCCCTTTAAGTTTCTATTTGAAAGTAAATAGAGAGTAAAAGAAAAAATGACAATCCATTTTAAAAGTAAACACAATAACTAACAGAGAAACATATGTGTGCTTTTCTTGTACTCCATTTTACCTGAATTCCCTTTAGAGATGAAGCACCCATGTAAAGAAATACCCCATAGAGTACTGGCATAGGAATAAACTGCACAGGTGAGGAGAAAAAAAAGGAAGAAAAGAAGAACATAATGAATATCAGTTCATGTATAAAGATATTTTAATTCAAAGAGCCATATTCCTGAATTAATCAAACCAGAATAAATTCAGAATAACTCCCTTAAAATTAGTAGAGTTACTCTGGGTTTACAACTGTGTAAATAAAGAGCAGAATCTGGCTTCAAAGATGCATTTTGCTTTAACAGTTAGTTACCACACTGTACTTTACTCACTGTTCTCAAAAATTAATACAAATGCCCAGAAAATAAAAGTGTAAGAGTACATACATAAAATAATCAGATAGCTTTCTGGTAAAATATTGTTCAGAATATGACCTGAACATTGCAACCAACATTCTCAGAAAAAGCATCTAAGATTACACTTTTTTCATACTGTAAATAAAACAAAATAAATAATACTGCTAAGGGAAATTGTCTGTGCTGTTTGCACAGTGTTGTAAGTACAGTGCATGACTGTTTCCCAATGATTTTGTGAGTCTATCTAGTTAAAATGTGCAGACTCTTTCTGGTACAAAGTATGTGGGCAGGGAAATCTTTCCATATTTAAGCACCTATTTTAAATGCAATGCACACAACGCACTTTTTTTGTGAAACATGCTTAACATTATATTTAAATCAGAATTACAAAAAAATACAAAAAAATTACAAAAAAAATATAAGCATTAAACAATCTATTCCCTTCATGATAACCATACATAAGGTCAAATCCTGATCTCTATGAAACCTATGGCAAAATTCCCATTAATTTCATTAGGACAAGGATTTTGCCTACAAGGTTTACTGATATTATTAAGAATCATGTACACGTAAGGTGAGAATAGACCCCTAGTTATTTGCTTTGACTTGGAACCTGCAGAGAATGTGAGAAAGCTTAGCTGGTTATTTCAAAGACATCAACTGCAGAATGCTTATTGGAAACCCCCTTTTCTAACCCACAGATCGATCACACAATGTTCTTAAGTTATCCAAATACTGAACAAATTCAGTTGCTGGTGTAATTTAACCAGACTTTGGTTTTTAGATGAAAATTTGCCATTAATCCAAGGCTAGACTAACAGTGAAACCCTGGGCCCACTGAAGTCAATAACAGAACTCCCACTGACTTCAGTGAGGCCAGGATTTCACTCTAATCCTTTTTGGTTAAAAATATGAAATGCCCCTACCTATTTTATTATGTGAGTGTTAGAATACATTGATTGTTGTCATACACAGAGCTATTATTGCAATATAGGATATTGGTTGGCAGTGTGCCTAATCGATAAAAAGCATAATTAGAATTGAAATTCTATGTACAGTACAGTACTATTCACTTTTTCTTTATTTTTGAAAATGTATTACCTTAAGAACACTTGTCAAAAAGACAGATGAGCCCATTAGGACAAAGATCATGAGCCCTGTAACTCTTTGTTCCCGTATTCCAAGAAATTTCGGCTGCTCTCCTGGAGCAGAGCACTCCGATTCCAGTTTCAAGCTATTCACATGGGAAATAGAAAGGACGGTGGCAGCAACAAACCATGGTAATCCCATAATAGAGCACACTCCAAGCATGAGTGCCACCATCAACAAGTCGAGATGGTATCCACACCCTTTCTGTTAAAAGAAACAGCAACAATAACAAGATGTAAAATGACATCTGGATTAAGGAAAGCTCTAGCAGCAGACATACCTAATTAACTATTAGAAACAATTTAAAAAACTCAAATGCCTAACAGAAAATAGCAGTCCTCCATGTTTTACCCAAGCTGATGTCAGCAGTGGGAGAAAGGTGGCTATGATGGTGATAGTTTGGTAATTTATGTGAAATGAGTTGGTGGTCTTAGTCTAGTTCCTAGCAGGCAAGAGTCCATATCGCAAATCTACTACCAAAACTGGTATCATTTGGCTTCTTTTCTGGTGGTGTCATGAGAGATACCAGGAGAAGCCATCCATAGAGGTGGTCCTTCCATAGCCAGTTTCAGATATGCTGGTGAACAAATATGGGCAAAGATGTGTCGCTGCTGTTTTACCTGGACCTGATCTGTTGATAACAGTGGATGCCAATTACCAGGGCTGCCAATATGGTATCATTCACATGCAATGAATTCACTTTTTAAAAAAAAATTAATAGAGGAGAGCAAACAGACATGGTCATACAGAAGGTTGAAACACAAAGGGATTCTTCCCTCCACAATATATCACAGATACTGTTAAATTAGCAGCTACAAAACTAATTTAAATCGTCAGTGTCTATAAAAGTACATGCACCTTTTTGTATGTTTTAAAATCCTTTATATTAATGTCACATCAAGTTAATAAGTTCTCAGTAGTATCATTATCATGCTAAACTGAGGTTTGCTTGTGATTTTTTTCTGGAGATTTCAATCTGTGTTTCTACTTTTGTCCATTGTAAAAATAGTCTTCTATAAATTAAGAAGGTTGGTTAAAAAAATAAATCAGGTACTGTGCTTTTTCAGTTTCCCCCATTACATTCTTAAGAAATACAATCCCATTGGTAGGAACAATCAGTATGAAAGAAATACCATCGTTAAAGGTTGACTGTGTTAGACAATCAGATAAGTCAAGTTATAACATTTCTGTGCTACCGAGCAGAGGTATGTAAAACATTTGATTCAAACCTCAAATGCATTCAAAATCAACCTTGGTTTATGTTCAACTTGTATGTGAGAATGAACATTGCTTTGCATAAAGTTTTTCCATATAAATGAACTTTTTGTCAAAGCTGGACTTTTTTCCTCCCTCTTTCTGAAAACCCAAGAGCACTGTGAGTATATTCAGACTACAGCTGGAGGCATAATTCCCAACTAGCATAGATGTATACATACTAGATATGATCGACATAGTGTTATAAGAATAGCAATGTAGCCAAAGAGGCTTGGGTTAGCTGCCTGAATATATATCTAGGGTCTCAGACAGGATTGTATTTGGCTGGCTACCCGCACCACCACAGCTACACTACTATGTTTAGTGAGCTCTCTTGAATCAAAAGAAAACATCTACTGTGATGGAAATTACACCACTAGCTGCTGTGTAGACATACTCTCTGAGACTGTGGTTCACCAGTGCACTTAAAGTTCAAACTGTTAGTGAGAAAAGTCACATGGGGTAAATCACATACAGTATTTTCCAATATGGCAACACGTCCAACTTCCTGTTCTGATGAAGCAGTAAAGTTCAAGCAAATAACATGAATGTGTTGAACCAGAATCTTACCTGAAAACTCATGCAGATGGCTTATGATAAAAAAAAAAAGTCACTAAACCATTTCCAAACGAACTTGGACGGGTTTGCTACAGAGACTAAAAAAAGAAACTGTAAGGCACACTCTATTCAGAATTTCTATTCAGGAAATATAAAAAAGAGGAAAAAAATGATTTGGAAGCAGACAATTTCTTTCTGAAGACGAGTTTTAGTTATAAAATAAGAAGTGTTTGGGTTTCTGAAATGTAAGTCACATACCAAACATGAAAATGCCATTTTTATTCATTTATTTTGTTTACCATGGGAGACAACTTTATATAAAGTAAATCAAAGAAAAAACTCCCTTCACTATCTCACTAGTCTTACATCTAAGACATGTCTAGCTAAACACAGAGATGTGTTAACAAAGATTAGTTATATGCACACATGCACTCAAAGAAGGAGTTTAAATCTAAATCCTAACAGAGACGCCTATTTTACCTTCTGACACATTTTGGAGGAATGTATGCACTAATACATACAGAATCAGGGAGTTTTTCCCGGGATCCAAGGAAACTGACATATGGGAGGACAAGAAAGCATAGCAACAGGTGATGCTATACCAGACCCCAGCAAAACTAATATGCAGCAAGACAAGAGGGCAGCCAGGAGAGCCATCTGACTCCCAGATGCCAGTGCTGAAAAAACACATTCCAAAGCTTGGCAGCAATTTCCTGCATCTGTCAAGTTAACCACATGCAATGCTATGGATTGACATGAAGAGTCAGGCTGACAAAAAGGGCAAAAAAAGAACATATCAAATGTCACAATCATCGAAGAAGAGGCAGTGCAAAGTGAAGGATGCCAATACATTTGCTAAAGTGATCTGGGATTGGATTGTTGTTTATTAAAAGTATGTCAAAAGAGGCCTAAATTTGCTGCATATACAAGTACAGAAGCCTGCTGTTGGATTTTGCCCAGCAGCTTTTCAGAGAGGTGATGCCCCTTTCTCCCCTCTCCATCTGTCGACTTCCAGCAGGAAGTTGTTCTATGTTGTTTTAAGATCCCATTTTCCCTCTAAAGTTCAGTTTTTACACTTCTCCCTGCTCCAAGAAGGAAGGGAAGGGAAGAAAGCACTTATGGGGAAGTTCAAAAGAGATAGAGAGGCAGAGAAGGAACAAAGTGATAAGAAAATACCATGTCCCCTTAATAGATTCTCAAAATTAAGCCCACCAGCAGATGATGTCTGGATTTCAAGAGATATTAGACATGACTGTTTAGATTAAGTAAAGCACTTTGGCAAATGCTTAACTTAAAGCATATATTGAAGTTCTTTGAAGTCAATGGGTCATAAGCAGCTGCTTAAAGTTAAATGACACCTGCTTAAGTGCTTCGCTGACTTGAGGGGTATGCTCTAAGAACACTTTTAAAGACATGTGTAAAAAGGAGAATCGCTGACAAAGAATACAAATTACATACACAAAATTAACATACTTGCTCAATTTTTTTAAATGTATTGAAAAAGACTGCTAAATAATGCATAGTAAGTTAACTGTTATTGAGCAGTGTTGAAAGTACATTACATAAAGCAAAGTAGGAAGGTAAAGTAAACATATGACCTTTTGACTGTGTTCTATAAACATATACCTTTAGCTTGTGTTCTTTTCTGTTGATAATAACAGCTGTAATCTGCTGGTCCATAAAGATAAGGATAGTACAAAGCAGAGCTGGAATTATGGCAGCTAAAATGGTCCACCAAGGATTAGGCCCCAGAGGAGAGACAAACCAGCCACGATCATCTCTGGTGGGCTACAAAAACATAAGGTAATGTATGACCAATTCAGAATTCTAGTGATTATTAAATGCTCTGACTTTGCAATTACACAAACAAGCACTACTTAGGAAATGATAGGTTTCATTTAGAGATGCTTCTATAAAGAATTACTATCTCGCTGTATAATATCACAGAATATACTAAACATCATACTGTAAAACAGTACCAGAAAGAGCAGGTAAATATAAACACAGCATTTCTTTAAGTCTTTAACAGTTATATGTTAACTGGGATATTACAGACTTTATTGCATTCAGTAAAATGATAATGATCCAAGGTCTCAGGGGGACGCCCCAAACCATATAATAATCTAGGATTTGGATGATCTGAGAAACATGTGACTGCAAACTTCACAGTCTGCTGGCTGAGTCCCCCAATATAAAGGAGCACGGGGGAGCCTGATGAGAGACAAGGGCAAGGGTGAGAAGGAAAATAGGGTGGAGAGAATTGGCTAAGACTCTTTAGTTAGACCAACGTACCTTTGCTCCTAAGGATCAAATAGCCAAACTTCACTTTTGTGAAGATAACAGGGAATTTCAGATTAATGAGATGTGGATAATAAAGATTGCACTGTAAAGAGTTTATTATTATTTATATGTATTATGGTAGAGCCAAGGGGACCACAAGTTGGATCAAGGCCCTGTTGTTTTAGGAACTATAGACACACACACACACACACAGATACATTCAGAGAAGAATTATTATTCACTTGTTATCAAATATCTACTTAATCTACTATGTAGCACAGTATTTTAGTGATGCAATACAACAGTACAGTTTATTAATGAATTACCTTGAATGCATTTGGAACCTGAAGCTTTGGAGACGGAATCCCCAGGGCGTAGTCAATTAAAACCATGGACATAATAGTGAGAAAGACAGCGAAGTCACTGACTATAGATCGCACCTAAAAATATTGAGCCAAATGTCATTTCCAGCAGGGAAATACCAAAAATATCCACATATGGTTTTGAGAAAGCAAATACAAGAGCTGCAACTTAATTCCTTTTATGGCTTAAGACAGTGGCTCTCAACCTTTCCAGGCTACTGTACCCCTTACAGGAGTCTGATTTGTCTTGCCTACCCTCTCAAGTTTCACCTCACTTAAAAACCACTTGCTTACAAAAATCAGACATAAAAATACAGAAGTGTCACAGCACACTCTTACTGATAAATTGCTTACTTCCTCATTTTTATCATATAATTATAAAATAAATCAATTGGAATATAACTATTATACTTACATTTCAGTGTATAGTATTTAGAGCAGTACAAACAAGTCATTGTCTGTATGAAATTTTAGTTTGTACTGACTTCGCTAGTGCTTTTTTTGTAGCCTGTTGTAAAATTAGGCAAATCTCTAAATGAGTTGATGTACCCCCTGGAAGACATCTGCGTATCCCCAGGGGTACATGTACCCCAGGTTGAGAACCACTGGCTTAAGGGAATACTTTCCTTACGGGAGAGATTGTGCTCACCCATGTGCTGTTTCAATTTCACAACATGGAGAAAGAGCACAAGGACCCATTCTTGTTCATTCACATTGTGGTCAGGCACATTGGCAGTCCTTACACTCCCATGAGTGTGCATGAAGACAGTGCCACCACTGGAGTGGGGGATGGTAATAACTCCATCCTTCCTCCTCACCAACCAGAGAAGCTGGTTCAAAGGGGAGCATGCACTGCACTCTTGCCAGGAGTACTGCAGCAGCCTCAGGAGACAATGCAACTCTTCCTAGGAATCTAGATTGGTGGGAGATAAGTAGCTTTGGTACAGAGTATAACATGCACAGGGTGGGAAATATTTAAGGAATATGAACAGGATTGCAGAAGGACACATCACTTGTAAACAGAGCACGCTAAAGGAAGAACAATTTGCAGTGGGAGTAGTGTTGTCTTTAGAACATCAAGCTATTTTTTAGCATTATTCCTTTTTCTGAAGAGAGCTGAGTTTTTAACCTTTAGGACCAAACCCCCTACTGAGTCACTCTTCAGTGTTAAAGGCTGATTTAAGATATTTCTGTTTGTCAGATTTTGCTGTGAAGTACTTTCTGTTTTAAACATCAAGATGGAAACAGAAAAAATAACAAAAACAGATAACTAAACAATTTCTCTACAAAACTCCAACAACTTACAGCACTTCACCAGCAAAAAATTATAGAGGGCAGCAAGAAACTGGGTCTGCAACAGTGGAGATTTATACTTCCACAAGATTTACACAAACTTTTGCGTTAAAAAGGTATATTCCAGGTACCTTTGTTGGAAAATATCGGCTAGTCTTGAACTGCTTCAGCGTGGATGATAGTGTTACTGTAGAAAAGAACAGGATGACTGACCAGAAGAGAACATCTGGAACGTAAGGGCCATGATGTCCACAGGCTCGTCCAACGTACTCCCCATGAAACGTCCCACATTCCTAACAGGAAGAACAAAGCAGGATTGTTTTGAAAAATGCCCTAGTAAATGCTGTTATATATTTTTTTCCTGTGATTAGTTACTATCTTAAATAAATGACAGATTAGATCATATAATATATTGTCAATAGTAAACTATTTTTTAATTTTTAAGATATTCTCTCATTTAAAACCCCAAATCTTTATATCTGAATTGTATAGACAAACTGTACTTTTCATCTGTAATGCTATGAAGAAAAAAAGAAAGCTAGAAAATGAGAATTGTCCATCTCAGAATGAAGAACATCTCATACACTCAGACATTGTGCCATACAGCACTAACAAAACTTAGCAATGATTGACAGTTTTTCCTAGAGATATTTAATGACATAATCACTATGTGATATCAATTAAGGATGGGCAAATTGGTCTGGATAAATAAATCTTCTCCCATGCTTTGAAACAAACCTGTATTTGTTTTTAAACAGTTTGGTTGTATTTTTTTTTAATGTTTACTTTTCACATGGCTGCTGAGAAAGGAAAGAAAATACTCTGATAAGGGCTACTCTTGTTGCATTTCCAAGCTTTAGATGTTTGTTTTAACTTAATAATTTGAAGGAAAACTATTCAGACCTACATATTATCCCAGAATGGAACTAACAAATGTATTTACCAGAAGGGGGCAGCACACTTCACAAAATTTTCTTTGCTTAGGAAAAGCTGAGATTGTTTCTAGAAAAGATCTGATAAAATTCAGGGAATACACCAAACAAAACATTAATATTTATTTCAGACAACAGCTCCACTTCAAAGTCTGACGTGTCACAATTTGTCAAATTTTAACCAATTTATTTTAAAAAGATAGCATACAGGTTTGCTGCAACCTAAATCTCACATGTGAACCTTACATTTCAGATACACCTCTAGTAGAAATCTAAAAAATGATTGTCAGACAGCCATAAATACAGATGTGTTCAGCTTCCTAAACAATGAGCACAGAAATGTGGGAAATCTATGAAGATGTGAACTATAGAACATGGAATCCCACTGCTCACTCACTAAGTAAAGGAATATAAGAAACAGAGTAACCTGAATTGAGGGGTCCATTCTCCAATACCCTGACTATGGGAGAAGACTTATGTGGTGAAAAAGTAACTGACCATACTGTCAAAATAACAAATTGGGGCACTTTTGTGGCAACATTTATTAGAATCATAGAATTCTCAGGTGCTCTACATTTTGGCACTCTTCTTTGACCTGTTCTATTTATGTAAGAAAGAAAGAAAGAAAGAAAGAAAGAAAGAAAGAAAGAAAGAAAGAAAGAAAGAAAGGCAAAGCTCTGCCCCATCCCCCATGGACTATCTG